ATTAATTATATGAGTTGTCATCAATAGAAATAAGGCAGATTAATATATTAAAAAAGGTTAATACTTTAATTTTCACGGCCTATACATAACTTGAATGAAGGCAAATCGGCATAACATAATCCCAATATGAACCTTAGTTGAAACAGATATTTGGCAGAAATAGGAGACCTTTAGGATACTAATCGGGTTCATATAGGCGTTCAATACATATCAGGATGCCGATTACTCTATAGGTAAATCTATAAAGCCATTAGGCAAGCATTATCGATTTACCAATTGAACTATCGGCATCCTAATATGTATTAATGCCTATATGAACCCGATTAGTAGTGCTCCTATCGAACCGGACCAGACCAGACTTTTGTTAAGTTTGAGTCTGGTTCGATTTTCGAACCAGACTCGAACTTTGATGATTCAAACTTTTAATCAAGTTTGAGTCTGGTCCGGGTTTGAGTTCGAAGTCTGCAGACTAGTCTGAGTCCGAAAATATATAGATGTAGTACTTCTATCAAACCGGGCCAAACCAAACTTTAACTAAGTTTGAGTTTGTTTTGATTTTTTAAATCAAACTCAAACTTTTTTAAAAACTAAGGGTACTCTCAAACGCCTCAATCAATCAATAGATCGGTGTATAAATTTTAATTAATATCAGCCGGTCAAGAGAGTTTATCACTGCAGTCAAAAAAAAAGATGGTTAGTGACCATCTTTTCTTTATAGAGCTGCGTTGATTGGCCAAAATTTATCATAGAGTGAGATTATTCCGATCAAATCATAATTTGTTTTTTACGATCGAACCATTATTTTTTTTTATGATCAAATCTTTTTTTTTTTTTTTTCTACGATCGAATCATTCTACTTTGCACTTATACTTTGACTAAATACTCAACATGCACAACTTAACGCAAAGGATCTTAAAGACATTATTGAATGGATACCTTTTAGCAAATTTGCAAATATAAAGTATCTTGCTAAAGGAGGTTTTGGCACTGTTTTTAAGGCAATGTGGATTGACGGGTATATTACAGGACGTAACGGGGGTAAATGGGAAAGAAAGCTGCAAATAGATGTCTGATTAAAAAATCTTGATAATAAAACGCGAATTTTTAGAAGAAGTACGTATGAATCTTAATTTACGGTTATTAAAGTGTAGAAATCTTATTTATCCTAATTAATATTTTAGGTTGAAAATCAACACAAACATGGGGGCAACTCGGCAATTGCGATTTGGAATAAAAGATGGTAACTATATGATAGTCATGGAGTATGCGAAGCAGGGAAGTCTCCGAAAATTATTAGATAGTAAATATGATGAATTAGACTGGGCTTCCAAAATAATTAATCTATATTATATGGCTGATGGGCTTAAGACAATTCATAAAGCTAAATTAGTGCATAAAGATTTTCATTCCGGAAATATAGTTAATCAAACTATGTATACTTCTTACATTACTGATTTTGGTTTATGTAAACCAGTGTCTCAAGACTCAAGTTCTAAAGTACTTTTTGGTGTGCTTCCCTATATCGCACCAGAAGTATTGTATACAAATGGAAAGGAATACACTCAAAAATCAGATATTTATTCTTTTGGAATAATTATGGTAGAAGTTTTTACTGGATATCCTCCATATCATGATATCCCACACAACGAATATCTAGCAATACGTATTTGTCTAGGTTATAGACCCAAAATTAGATGCAAAGTTCCTCATTACTTTTGGATCTGATGAATAAATGCTTAGATACAGAGCCACAAAGCCGACCAACTGCTAAAAAATTAGCTAATACGTTGCGCCAATTTTTTTATGATTTGAAAGATGAAAAACTGAATTGTCTAAACAAGTTGAAAATATTAATGACATAGACAAAGATTTTTTAACATTTAATCAAGTCAAATTGGCACAATTCAAATATCAGACACATCCGCAAGCTATTTATATAAGTCGATTTTTGAATCTTTCAAAACTCCCTAAATCAGGTAATAACATTTATTCATATTTTTTAAAGAATTAATAATATTTTATTAATTGTAAAAATTTCTGAATTTGTCAATACAGTAAATGCAGGTAATGATCTTATTTTCTTAAATTGGATTTAAACTTTAGTTTTAATATATATTTGTGTGCTTTAGAAAGTAAATGTTGAAATTCCCGATGGTAAGTAATATTTGGTTGGTTATAATTAAACAAATTTATTGCTTATTTTTATATTGGTATTTAGATTATTAAATCAAGTAAGTAATAGATATTACACGGGCTGTTGTGAATATCATGGATTAGCACGGCGAAGCCGTGGTAATACATGGTATTCACAGCGCACGTGGAATATCTGATATATTTCACGGTTCCTATGCCCGTAGCATTTCTGATTAAAATTTTTACTGATGACGTAATGTCCGTGGAATAATTTTTGATATTTTCACGGCATTATGTCATCATAAAAATATCATCAGAAATGCTCACGGGAGAACATTAGGGGCCGTGGAATATAATAGGTGAGCATTCTATTTATTTTGCCATGCTACAATAATTCAGTAATTGTTATATATCTACGAGAAAAATGATATAAATCAATTTCTTTGACAACTAGGATTGGCCTGATCTATAATTAATGCTGGCTAGATGTAGATGCTAAAGATGTTATATAATAAAGTTACTAAATTTAAATACTGTATATAAAATTTATTAATAAATATTGAAATAATAAATACAGTCAACTCTTCTATAATGAACTGAGTTCTGGAAGAAAAAAAAGTTCATTATAGAAAATTATCATTTATTTAAGAAATCGTAGCTCTTTTTATACTAAACCATTATAAAATTTGAATTTTGAGTTCTTTATATTCAGAGTTCGGCATAGAGAAGTTCATTATATCCAAAGTTGTTTAAGATATATGAATATATTTTATAGATTTTTTTAAAAATAAAATTAAAACCTAGATATTAAGACTCCGGACCTCATTAGTTCCTGTTTCTTAGTTTGATTAAGTCAATAATTATCTTGAAATTCGTTGAGGTCATGCAACGTGATCCCGTTACAGGAAATTTAAAACTTTCATTTTATAAAATAAACGATAACTAGATCATTAGAGATAAATTTATCCTCATTAGCTGTTTATTTAAATATACACCAATATTTTTCGACATTTCAATAACATAATATTCATATATTATAGAAACTTCTGCAGTAACTTAGTATATTAATTAATAATCCAAAGATAATTAAACATATCGCAAAAATATGATACTGTCTTCCTCCTATATAGCCACATCCTATACAATCACATAATAGTAAACCCCTTTTTATAATCACGCTAAGGCCTGCAACACTTTACTAATAAACTTATAAAAAAATACTTCTTTATAAGCACATCATAGTAAAAATCTTTAATAAACAGTACTATCTTTTGATCAGAGTTCATGTGACTTCCTGGAATCGTATTACCCAAATTTTTGTCATTAAATGATTTATATTAATAATTAATGATATTATTCTGATCCTAACTATGATATGCTTTGTAGATGATTTTTAATTTTTTTTTTTATCCATAAAATACCGTCAATGTTACTAACGGTCATTGAAGTTATATGGGTTGCGATAGTGAGAAAATGGGCTAGACCTATGGGAAATGAGTTAGACGTATTAAACTTTACATAATTTAGTTATATATATATATAATTCTTTGATTCCAATTTGGCTAGTGGATTAGGCTTGAAGAGAATTAAACTGTGCTAATTCTAGCTTTCATACTAATTCATCCAAAATGTAAGCCTAGCACAATTCTAATAACTTCTTGATTATTAATTGTAAAATATTATTTAGTGTGATCATTTGAAAAATTGAACTCTTTACTGTATTTTATTTTTTCATAATAGTATATCATCCTGCATCATCCTACTCCAATAATCTTGATATTACCAAAATTAACTTTTGAATATTCAACAACTTTATCTTGGAAATTATTGTTTCACCCAGTGAATTCCAGGTTATCAGTCTAAAAATCATTACCCGGGCCATTTCGAATAATCCAGACGACCTGGCTAAAAGGTATAATTGATGACTAATTAAGTCAATTCATATGCTATCCTTTTTGAAATTCAATTTTGTACGAAAGAACGTTTAATTTAAATGTATATAAAAAAGAATATTACGATTACCTTTTTTACTTAATGCTGTAATAGTATTATGGTTCATGTACACGTATATTATTAAACTGATTACTGTCAATTTTTCGCAAACCACCCAACCAGAATCTCTCTTCTCTTAATATCATCTTGTTCTTTATCATATGCAAAGGCTCTAAGTTGAAACGCTTCATTCATTGAGTTTTTAATTCAGTCAATCATCAAACATCGGCCAAAATTGAAATTCAATTGTTTTTTATAATGATAAATTTTTTTTTTTGATTTATTAATTAACATTACTGCGTTTATTAAAAACATGGGAATCTTATTTAATTAAAGACACTGTATCTTCTGCTGTTAACAATTTCGTAAAGTTCTATTTAATAGTGAAGAGGACGAATCTAATTGTATTGATATTTCAGTCTATCATGACTAATAAAAATACCGTAAAAGATATATTAAATCTGTCTTTTCATTAAACTTTCAAAATCAAGATGATATAGTAATGAATCTACAAATATCTTACTTTTTCCGAACTTGACTTTGAATGGTGATGTGGTGTCCTTTACAAAATGGCAATTTCACAACGGGCGCGAAAATTCATTACAATTCCTGCAAAAAGCATACCAAGAAACGCTTATTTACAGACACGGGAAATGTTATAAGTGCGAAAAGAACATTATTAATTTAAAGTACCGTAACTTTGCAGTGAAATTTTTAAAATATAATATGAAAAAATTTAAATGTAAATCAAAAAATAAGTCATGTACGTTGTATATTAAATAAAAAAGAATTGCAAGCTTTATGCTACATTAAATTTTTTAATACGATATTAATTATATAAATTTAAAAAATTAGAAAATATTGAAAAAACTATTTTAAACTTTATAATGTTCATGTTGGGATACCCATCTATTTGCCTCTACAATATTGTCTGAAACCCAACTACTAAAACAACGAATGCCCGAATCAGTTAATTGTCTTATACCATTTTGTAGAACCGTACCTACTGTGGTTCTGACATATTTTTCATCATCCTTGGAAAAATATTTATACTCCATTTTTAGCAGAGCTTCTTCATCCATGCCCTCTAGTTCTTTATCAAATTTTTCGTGTTCGCTTGTTTTGAATGTGTTCCTGGTTTTGCCAGGTTTTGCTCTTAATAACCCGGCTATTTGGATATATTTGAGCTCAATGCTCAAGCCCTGGCCATTCCCCAAACCATAAACATATCTAAAAATCCGTATCTACCTTCTCTTTACGACCATCCATTACTAGCCTCAGTTGAGGGATGCGATAGCGCAGTGGAAGCATAGTTTCAACCATTCCCTGGAGAACTTCTTACAGCGGAGACCTTTCTAGTAAGTTTTGCCTCAAGAGTTGGATGAAGGTTGAAACATCCCCATTATTAAAAAGATCATTATGGGCGTCTGATCCAGTTACTTCTTCGGGTTTCTTATATTTGTTCCCAGACTGCTTGATACTTTTCGCTGTGTTGAGAACGGTCTAAATGGTTTTAAATAAAAATTAGTAAATCACTAACTTTTTATTCAGTATGAATACATAAATAATTAAAATCACACCTCTCGTAGAGAAAATTATAATAGGAATAATTTTTTTTTCTGTGTTGTTCATGAAATTTTTGACAAGAACTATAAATATATAAAAAAAATTTTTAAAACTTCAATTTATGACCTGGCCGCGTTATGAAAACCAATTAATTAATTTTGCATTGCCTAAGATGCAAGTTAAAGGTCAAAATAAACTTACGCTAATGATAATTGAACCTAACTTCTTGATTCTTTGCTCTTTTTTCCACATCTGCTTTACATTTTTCTTCTCAGGCGGGCTCACACGAAAATTAGAGAATTTTCTAATAGGGTGATTTAAAGTTAACTTATTTCAAAAACAGATAGGGTTTTAAAACGTCCTATTTCTATTTGAAATTTTGAAATCAGAAAATGAAATA